ACCTACTCTTGTCGCCCTAAACCCAACACTTTCTGTCAAGTTTATTCAGACCAAGGCCTCACATCATCGCTCACTAGAGTGTTTCAGGCTTCGAGGAAGGTTTGGTTAAGGACAGGGAACTGTCTCAAGATGAAAGAACAGCTATTTGAGCTAGCAAAGAGTGGTAAAAAGGGATAAGAGAGCTTAAATATTTTGTGGTGCCCATGAGTTCACAATGATATGCACAAACATGATAATTGGATTATCAAATTATGGTTGTCACTTTAAACAAGGCTGGAGTTAATCACAACTTTATCCAACTAACACAGAAGCATTGAGACACTAGTTCCAAGCATGGTTCACCCTTGATTTCATAATAGTTTTGCAAGCAATAGAGAATTAATAACTAGGGCCATGAACCAAATTCTTAAGATGATGCTCTCTCAAAGAAACCTATCATTACTCACAAATGATGCAATCTATATGATTATGCAACTAGACTCAATCCTAAAAATGTGAATGCAACTAACTGAATATTTTTTTGTGAAAATTTTTCAGATTTTTCAATTTTTTTTGGTTTTTTATATGCACTTAGATGCACACTCAGCATGAAAAAAAAGAAAGATCAAGAACAAACATGGTTAGCAATACTAAAATCCTCCCCCACACTTAAATAATAAAATCATAAGAGAGGAGTGTAGATCAAGCTCAAAATGCAAAATGAGAAAGAAAAACAAAATGCAAAATGCTATGTACAAGTTGGAGTTGGTACCTATCATGGACTTGGAGGTGGGCTTGGAGACAGCTGGAGCAGGAGTCTCTTGTCTGCTGTCCATACTTGGCAAAAAGGATTTCCAAGTCACACCTGGCATGATTTTCCTGGGAAAAGCTTAAGACGAGAATTGGAAAAGAAGAACTTTATCGTTAGGAGCAAAAGTTCTATGAATAATCTTTTTATCATGATATGCTTTAATCTTATCTTTATAGATCTTCGAGTTTTCGTAAGCATTGTGTCGGATTTCTTCTAACTCGTGAAGTTGAAGTAGTCTTTATCCAACTGTTCCTTAATAGTCCATTGTGTTTTATACTTGAGATCTACTGGAAGATGACATGCTTTTCCGTAAACTAGGTTAAATGGTGTTGTTCCTAATGGCATCTTGAAAGCTTTTTGATATGCCCATCATCTGGCATTTATCGCATCGCGATATATAAGCTTCAGTATCTTTGAACAAAGTAGGCCACCAGAAGCCTGCTTGCAAGATCTTTGAAACAGTTTTGAAGGTTGCGAAATGTCCTGTGTAAGACGAGCCATTACATCCGAGTAAAATTCCTTCCATATCTTCTTCAGCCATGCATCTTTGGAACAACCCATCAACACATCTCTTGTAGAGATAGGGTTCGTCCCAAAAATAATTTCTTACGTCTCGTAGAAACTTTCCTATATCCAAAAAATTGTGGTGGTTCTACATCAGCTGCTAGGTAATTCACTATGTGCCTAAACCATGGGGTGTTGAAGGCGTCTGATCGTCACATGAGTTGCCTTGGTGGTGCGGCATTGGTGGGAACTGTGTCTATTGCATTGATGTTTTCTTCTGGCAAACAATCATTTAAAGGCAATCTTTCTTCAACTCGAATTCGTGAAACATGGTCTGCGACTCCATTATCCGCTCCTTTCCGATCTAAATTTTGATGTAGAATGCTTGCAGTAAGAGGATCCATCTTATCAATCTCGGTTTAGCGTCTTACTTAGACATTAAATTCTTAATTGCCGCATGATCAGTATGAAATATAACCTTAGATCCTACGAGATGAGAACAAAATTTCTCAAATGCAAATATTACAGCTAGAAGTTCTTTCTCTGTTGTTGCATAATTGCATAGAGCTACGTCTAGAGTTCTGCTTGCGTAGTAGATTACGTGCAGTTTATTATATTTTTGTTGGCCAAGCACTGCTCCAACTGCATAGTCACTTGCATCGCACATGATTTCTAATGGGAGTTCCCAATCAGGTGCTTGCACGATTGGAGCTGAGACAAGGGTTTCTTTGATCTTATGAAACGTGGTTAAGCACTCGTCATCGAACTCGAAGTTTGTTTCTTTGCAAAACAAACGCGTAAGAGGTTTAGCTATTTGAAAAAAATCTTTTATGAAGCGCTTATAGAATCCTGCGTTTCCTAAGAAACTATGAATTCCTTTCACATTTGTGGGGGGGGGGGGGGTTGGGGCTTGTCATGACTTCAATTTTTACTTTGTCAACCTCAATTCCTTTTCCCGAAATCCTGTGCCCAAGCACGATTTCGTCTCGTACCATGAAGTGACATTTTTCTCAATTTAATACTAGGTGCTTATCTTCACATCTTTGCAGAACTTTACCAAGGTTGGCAAGGCATTTTTCAAAAGAGGATCCATAGACGGAGAAATCGTCCATGAATACTTCCATGAAATCTTCAATAAAGTCTGTGAAGATCGACATCATGCATCACTGGAAGGTAGCAGGTGTATTACACAATCCAAAAGGCATTTGTCGATAAGCGAACATGCCATATGGACAAGTGAATGTTGTTTTTTATTGATCATCCGGTCGAATAGAAATTTGGAAAAATCCGCAGTATCCAGGAAGGAAGCAATATTATGGGTGATTACCTAACCTTTCTAGCATTTGATCTATGACGGGAAGTGGAAAATGATCTTCTTTAGTTGCTGCATTTAGTTTCTGGTAACCAATGCACATACGATGTCCAGTGAATGTTCTCATAGCGATCATTTCATCTTTATCGTTTTTAATGACAGTAACTCCTCCTTTCTTTGGGACAACAAGAACTGGGTAACCCAAGCGCCATCTGAGATAGGAAATATTATTCCGGCATCTAAAAGCTTCATAATCTCCTTCTTGACAACATTCATGAGATTAAAGTTTAGTCTCCTTTGACTTTCGATTGAGTTTTTAGCATCATCCTCGAGATTTATCTTGTGCATACAAAGATCTCGAGAGATTCCAGGTATGTCATCAAGTGAATAATATCCTAAGGCTTTTCTGTGCTTTCTTAGTTCAGACAACAGCATTGTGGTTTCTTCTTCTGTCAAACCAGAGTTTATAATGACATGATAAGTTGAATTGATCTAAGGATAGCGTACTTAAGTCTGACTTTGGGGGCTTTAAGCTCACTCCATGGATCATTTATTACTGTGGCAGTGTCTTTAGAAGGTGTAGGAATGTTTGTTTGATCCTCAAGATTTATATAGTTTAGAGGCTTCCTATAATTTTTAGACTTATCAAGCATTCACGTGCATTCACTCGAAATTTCTTCAAGGAAGTAGATCTTCATAAACTTCCTCAATAATTCCGTCTAACTAATCAATCCAACAAAATTTTCCATCCAAAGTTGGTTTATCAAAACTTTTGTTCAATAACTAGACCGGCTAGATGAATGTCAATTTTTCCTTCCAAGACATTGATTATGGCTCCGACTGTAGATAGGAATGGTCATCCAAGAATAAGGGGATCCTTAGGTACTCTTTCTAGTTCTAGAACTACGAAATCAGTTGGTATGGAACATTTTTTGATTTCTACGGGAACATCTATTAAGACACCTATGGGTTGTTTAACGGAAAGATCAGCTAATACTACGGAAATTTTAGTGGGCTGTAAAGTGTGATGTCCAAAACGTTTTCAACTGAAAGAGGCATCATGTTTATGCTCGATCCCAAATCACAGAGAGCACGTTCAAAAGCCATAATATTGATGGTGCATGAAAGTACGAAGCTTTCAGGATCGTTTTTCTTTTGAGGAATCCGGCTTTGCAGGATAGAAACACATTCATGGGTTATCATCATAACACCTTTTTCAAGAGTTAGAAAATTTGTTAGGATACCCTTCATGTATTTTCTTAAAGCGGGAATCATAGCACAAGCTTCCACGAAAGGTAATCTCACATTTACTCTTTCAGCTTAGCTTTTTCTTTATCCTTCTTCGGGGCTCTTAAGGCTCTATGATATGGCGGTTAAGGTTTATAGACGCGAGTTGGTGGAGGGGGAATCAGGTCTTCTCCGAGGATTTCTTAGGATATATTTTCTCTTACTTCTTCTCCATCCTTTTCTCCTACCACTTCTTTTTCAACATCTTCAATCATGACTATTTCTTTTTCTTTTTCCTTTTCCTTACCCTTTTCCTCACCTTCGGGATCTTTAGGAAATTCAGGCTATTTGTAAAGCTAAACGACCGCTCCTAAGTGTGATAGCTTTCATATGGTCAGAGGGGTCAGCTTCGCGTGAGCTTTCGAATGAACTTTCATTGGGCTCCTCCTCGGAATTATCGGAACTTATTTTTAATCATCAGACTAAGGAGGGTGGAAAATTTATCATTGAAATCTTCTTGCATATTTTTATTTCAGAGCTAAGATCACTGATTTCCCTAGATTTAGATTTTTCAAGCTCTAGAATCCTTTTGTTTAGATTTTCAGCTTCAGAAGAGGGAGAACTAGGATAGGGGATTGGATCAGATTGAACAGCCCAGATTTGTTCGGAAGAGGATTTCCCACGGTCATATGACTTGTGACCGTGGTAGAACGGTCTTGGCCACGGTCAGCTTTGTCACGACCCTGGTGAAAGCATGTTTGGCCGCGGCCCGAAGGAATGGACCTGTGGTGATCAGGTCCGAAAGGGAAATCTTGAATTTGATAGACTTCTGCAGTGTTCATCATCTCTTGATTATAAGAATCCATTGGGTTGTTCCAACCATCAAAGTTACACATATTGTGTACTTTTTTTTGTTGTTGCAATCCAAGTTGACTCATTATCTGATGGAGACACTTCATAACTTTCGAGATCTCTTCTTTCTTCTCAGGAAGTTTAGATATCCCAAAGATTGCTTGATTACGGATACTTCCTGCCAAGTTGTAGATGAAAACACGAGAATCTTCTACAGATTTAGTTGAGAAGTCTCCATTGCTTGCTCTGTCGAAATAATGTTGTAATTCTTTAGTTACGCCTCGATAGAAAATACCCATCAGGTATTCGTCAAAATATCCTTGGTGTGGAAAATATCTTTGGTATTCTCTAAATCTTTCCCAAGCATCATAAAGATCTTCATCTTCTTTTTGTTCAACAGTTCTTATCTTGTTCCTTAAGAGATTAGAACGAGTTCTAGTGTAAAAGCGATTTCGGAAAGCCGCTCTACACTCTTTCCACGTTTTTAGTGAAGCAGGTTCTAAAGATATTAGCCATTTGCTGGCAATGTCTCTCAAAGAGAATGGGAAAAGACTACACTTGTGGTAATCCCCATTTGATGTAATGGTTGCACATAATTCTTTGAACGTCTCGATATGGACCATCGGGTGTTCGGATGAATAACCATAAAATTAATTTTGTTGAACTAAGTTGATATATGGTACCTTTATTTCGGTTTTACCATCCTCTGGTAAGGCTGGTTGAATAGCTCTTTGGTCTTCCAAAAACTTTTCGAGTGAATCAAAACTTCCTATTAGTTCATCATCATCTTCACGTTTTGCTGATCTGATTAGCTCATCATCATCATCAATCAGATCATCAAACTCATCGTCGCTCAAGTCATCTTCGATCGGGTTACTATCCTCACGATATGGCGGTCACCGAGAGTTCCAGGAACATATTCCCGGTCTCCCATAGTAGAGAAACCTGAAAAATTCAAAAGAAAAAGTAAAAGTAAATAAGTGTTATAATGGATTTTAGTTGGAATTGGCAACGAAACAAATCAAAGTCTCTGGAAACAGCGCCAAAAACTTGATGCAATTGTAAACGGGGTGTTCGGTTTTACTAAGCTTCAGGTTTTAAATTTATAACCCCTAAATGTCTGCAAGTGCACAGATGTGCGCTGTAGTACTTAGGGTATTGATCTACAGAGTTAACTGTTTCAGTACGACTTCACGGTAATGCTTAAATCAGACTAGAACTAAACAGGTTTGGGTTTTGGCTTTTGTTGTCACGAATTCTAAACTAAAAGGCAAAGCAAGTGAAAGAAATTGAAAACAAAAACAGGTGAAAGCAAGTAAAAATCGAAGGCAAATGAAAGCAATGGAAAAATCGAAGGTTGTAAGCAATGGAAAACAGACGCTGGGCTCAAGGGTATCGCAGGGATTCATGGACTAAACCTATTTCAAAATTAAGTAAATGATCAAAGTAATCAACTACGTATGTTCTAGAACTCGAGGCACTGAAGTATGAATAACTTACTTTTGCAGCACTAAACAACTATCTCTCGCAACCTTGACCAGTAGGTTTCTACTCTGAAATTGAAAGCGAATAGATGCAATAGTTGAACAAGACTCATCAACATTAACAACTCATCTATAGGTACGTTTCCACTCCTATAAAATAATTTCTCGTTTTACCCTAGGTCAGATAATCAATGAAAGCTTTTGCAACAAATCTTATCTAGATCGGCTTCTAAGTGGCCAGCAGAGAATCACACAGTAAGATTTAAGGCAAACGAAGAACATCTAGAAGATTATAAATCCTAAATCTATCGATTCATAGATAAGACACAAAAAATTACCTTTGAAAAATTCCTTTAAACCCAACTGGAAAACTACTCAAACATATTGTAAACAATCATCACGAAGTATTGAAAGTTGCAGGAAATTAAAAAGAACAATGAAGAAGAACGAAGAACAGAGTCGCAGATGGAGGTGCGATGATGCTCCTCAACGGCTCCTCTTCGAAGACGGTGACCTCCCTAGGGTTTCACACGAAAATATCTCTCTCTCTCTAAGTCTTTCTTTAGAATGACCTAAAGGGGGTATTTATAGATTTTGGAGTTGTCCTGGATACTTTGGGCTTCAAAAATAATAAAATGGAATCGACTTGGGCTTTAATTAGGTCGTCTGGGAAGTGAACGTTTTCTGGCCGTGGTCGCGGTGCTCCTACCAGTGGGGAAACATGCTTTGGCCGCGGTCCCGGCTTGTGTCATCTTCCGAGACTGCATTTTTTGTCTTTATTGCATCGGGAGAATCTGAAGATCTGACCGTTGGATTGTCTCCAAACCAAGTGCATTAAAATCTGGTTGTATCCTCTATGTTGTCAAAAAAATTGGGTGTGATCGGACGGTGAGAAGGTCTTCATCGCTTGCCATACTTCTGACGATCTGCATTTATCCAAAATTTTCATTTGTTCCAGTTTCATATCTTTTGCCCAAGTTTCCTGAAAAGTCTTTTGAAACTCTAAAACATTGAAAACACTTTAAAAAAAAAATTGAAAACAGAGTTAAAACACCTGCATGAGACATCATTATGATCCATAAAAGTGGTCAAAAGACTATGCTTTCACCACATGCCTCAAGGAGATGCACACCAAGGTCATGTTGCCTGATGCTATCCAAGGTGTTGATCAGCACGCTTTTGGGAGGTTCTACACCGAGTTTAATTTCCCAGGTGTTGTGCTCACGGCTCAAGGTCAAGTTTACACTGGCCACCATATGCTCGGTGCTGTCCCCGGTCTTGATTTCTTCTTGGAGAAAAAATCCTGCACCGAGTTTGATCTCTCGGGTGCTGACCTTGGTGTGACTTAGACCGGTTTCCACTTGGTGCAGCTTAACTTTTTTTTCCCTTTGGAACCATTTCTCCTTCTTTGGACAACTCCTGAACACTTATAGACCTGAACACACTCAGTAAACATATCAAAAACATCCTAAAAACATAAAAAGAAAAGATTAAAAAGATTATGTACAAGGATAAGGTTGGGGTGTCTCCCAAGAGCACTTTGTTTTAAGTCACTAAATTTGACTTTGCAAAACCTGTTCTTAGTTGGGGTGAGGAGGAGCACTGATGCTCTTTTGCATTTAAATTGTCTTGAGTATGAAGGCTGAGCATTGTTTCCTTTAAGAACCATTAGATCCATTCTCTTTTAATCCCAACTTAAGACCCTTTTGCATCAGCTCTTGAATACCATCAGGGTCCTTGTCAATGAGTAATTTTTTGAGACCTGCCCTGACTTCAGCAAATGGTCCTAATTTTCCATTGCAGTCCAGCTTGTACTTTACAGCTCCATCATCACATTTCCAAGGAGTGAGAGTAAAGTCTTGAAAGAAAATTCAAATACATGGTTCTTTTCTTTCAAATCTGAACCATCATCCTTGTTGTTCATCATCTCAAGCTCACTTAGTGTAGGAGACCATGTGAGCAAGATGTCCTCTTCTCTAATGGAAGGCTCTCCATCTTCATACTTATAGCCAGAGTTGACGTGGGGATCTTTTCCCTTCTCCATAGCTGAAAGGAGTTGAGTTCTTCCTAAAATACAAATACTTCCCACATATTTCATCTCAAGTACCTTGGGCTCATCAACCTCTTGAACAACAGATCCACAAAATTCCGCTAAAGGAGGCTTAACATGGTAAGAGACATCTTTGTCTACCTTTGTGAGCACCACTCTTTGAGTATCAAAGTCAATTCTTGCCCCTGTAGTGTTAAGAAAGGAAGTCCCAAGAAAAAGAGGAAGCTTTTTGGTCTTGTTCATCTTCATGACAATGAAATCAGTGGGGACTATGCACTTACCAACCTTCAATGGATAATTCTCTATTAGCCCAAGAGGTTTCTTTGAGTTAGAATCTCCAAAGGTAATTTAAGAAGGGTAGTCCTTTAAGTTCTTGATCCCTAGCATCTCCATCATTTCTAGAGACATCAGACTAACACTTGAGTCTGAAACACACAAGGCATTCTCAACTCTGAACTTCCCAAGAGTGCAAGAGATAGTAAATTCTTGTGAAGGTTGGAGTTAGGAATTCTTGTGAAGGTTGACACTTGAGTTTGGTTCATTTGGTGATGAGCATGGCTAGTTTTTATGAGTGTACCAGTTTGCATTGCAATTTATAATTAGTAACTAGGACCATGAGCTTGAATTCTTTTGATGATCAACTCTCTGTCTTTAAAGAAATGTGAACTCCCAAACTCAAAACCTCGCTCTCATTTGTTCTTTTTGCTTGAGGACAAACAAAGGTTGATATAATCATTAAATGCATCATTTAGTGTACATATTTAAGTCCAAATCATGTCTTATTTCATGCATTTTAGGTCCTCAAGCATTAATTTAAGACTTAGAAGCTTGCATTAGGTCCAAAAGAGTTTTGCAAGGTTTGAACATGTGCTTTGGATCTTATTTGGAGTGGAGAAAGTAAACCAGGTGGGAAAATGGTGTTTAAATGATCAAAAATGGTGAAAAATGGGATTTTGGGGTCTCTCGGCAAAATACTGTCCCTCTGGTTGACGTTTCTCGGCTAATATCCATACCGCGGGCAAGACTTCTCGGCCAAAACATGTACCGCCTGCTTATGCCTCAGCCAAAAATCTCCGGTGCAGATATATTTCAAAGATCGTGCTACCGGAATGTCTTCCCGGCCGATTCGACTTCCGGGATCTGCAACCAAAGATCAAGATACTTTAGTCAAGGTTCCAGAACAGTTAGAATCAATGCATTTGGAGCAGCGAGCTGAAAGGTATGGCCACCAGAAGATGAACCTGTCTCGCATTCATTCCGGAGCAATCCGATATGCCTCTAAGATGAGGTTACCGAAAAGCCTTTTAGGAAAATTTAGCTTCCAGGGTCTTCATGACAGTTTAATAGAATTGAATCTAGTTTCCAGACCGCTTAGAATCAGAAGTTTTGAAGTTGTGAGCTGGGAGATATTACAATCGGAAGAAGCATAGGTCTAGAAGCCAATTTGGACAACTGCAATGCACTTCAAAGATCGGCCCTCCAAGAACCCTTCGTCTCCCCGGATGCAGTTGGGTTCTTCAAGAAAGTTTGAGCTGGTTGGGTCATCTATCTTGAGGGCTTGGTCTTGTGTCATTTGGGTCACTGAGCTGAAAGTTACATAAACCAGAAGAGAAGCGGGTCAATTCGGGTTTTAAGGGATGCATCTGTGTGCTAAGTGTTTAGTTAAGCCTCGGTGAGATCACCTCGACATGTCATGATACCAAGGCCTATTTGCAAAGGTTTTGGCCTAAACCTCGGGCTAACCCATCAGTCATAAAACACCGAGACACCCTTGCTCACAAAATTTGTCCCCAAACGACTAAGTAGTATCAGCTTAAGCATCTATGGGATTTGATCTGGGATTTGTCTAAGTATGGAATCAGCCCTCGGCATCAACCACTCGGTCTTCACC